AAAGAATATTTTGTTTCAGAAATATTAATATGAGATGTTATTTTAATCGATTTCAATTTAATTATTCAATTTTGAGAAGATAAAACCTATCCGTATGTTTTCATTTTGATTGGTTAGTTAACCCAAAAATAAGCTATACACACGATAATAAAAACTCTCAAATTATCGACTACAACTGTATATTAAAGAGGGGGTATTTTCAATGAATAAAACGTAAAAAGTATAACAAAATTGAAAATAAATTTTTGTTATATTTGATATATTTTAAACCATTTGAAAACAAGATTATTAACTTACAAATTAGACAAAATACCAATTAAAAATCACATTATCTTTTAATTGTTATGTTCATTGTTATATTACTCGTAACTTCTGTATTTTCGTTTTCTGAGCAACCAGAATATGATGCAAGAGGCAGTGAAATTGTAACAACAAAAATGCGAGAAAGGTTGTTAAATGTTAAAGTCAGAGGTGGTCTTATGATCCTGTTATTGAAAAAGGCTCTTCAAAAATTGAAAGAACACCGTAATCAATTCCCAAAACAATTGATTGAATCTGTGGAAATAATTATTACAGATGAAGAAAAAGTTCAAGAATTTGTACTTTATACCCTTAGACATACTTATATATACCTTGATAAAGTGAAAGAAATTGCTCCTGTTTTTGAAAACATGTTTTCAGAAACAAGGGGGCATTGGTATTTAATAAATCACATGATGATATTATTTGATGATATTGAAAAGACTTCTTTGACTGAAAGTGAGAAAAATGAACTCAGATTACAACTCTTTTTGACTGAAAGGTATTTCAGATTTTTACATGATATAATAAATAAGTTACATCTGCATCGGAGCTTCAGACGATATGTACAAACTGCAATTGTAACTCTTTCAAGACAGTTTAAAGACAAATTGGATTATGATAAAAATACAATGAAATACAGATTTGGTGTTAGTCGTGTTGAACAAGAACGATTTGAACATATTTATTGGAACAAACACAAAAGAGAAATACCAAACCCATTTTTCGAATTGCTCATGCCAGGTTCAAGCGGGCGCAATCCAAAATATTAGATAACTATTTTTATTGTTATAACATTAAAATAATAAATGATGTTTTGAGGTGTTTTTTTTCAAATTTTTGTATAAAAAATATCAAAATTATTAAAATGTTATAATATGTAACACTTTTAATAAAAAAATGTAATATGAATTTTTGTGGGATTACAATATTTGAATGTTTGATATGGCATCGTTTATTTACAAAAGAATCTGTATCTTAGTTTGAAATATTGAAGATTTTATTGTGAAAGGCAAACGAATAAATAAATGATAAAATAAACAAATACATTTCAAATTGATTAGTAAGTTGTGGTGTTATGAACCAGTAGATAAAACAAATATTAAACACCATTTAAATTTCAATGTTTTATTAACACTGAAATAACATACAAATAAAGTCAGTCAAAAAAATTTGTTTGTTCTTTAAAGTTGTCAGGGCATTTTTGGACCATCAAAACTAGAACGTTTCGAGCAACTGTTTTAAACACTTTTGAATATTGTTTTATTTTTCTAATGCATTTTTCTTCCCTTTTTTAATTCTAGTTTAAAAAACAATTTTATTAAAAATTTTGTCGAATGTATAATTTTTAGCTATACTTTAATATAAAAACCAGAAAATGGAAAAATAAAAAACATTTTTATTATTTAAATATTATTTTTGTGTTACAACACATAGCCTAATTCCACAAAAACAACAAAATGTTTAAGTAAAGAAGGTTAATAAAAAACTAATGTGTTTAGAATTGATCATTAAACAATATATTTTAGAATAGAATTTTTTAATTGTTTTTCCAGAATCTAAAATTATAAATGAATATTTGTAACAATTTTGAATTTAATATATTCTTTATTATTTATTAAATTATTCCTTATTGAATAAATGACATATTTAAAAACCAGTTTACACATTTTACAATCAACTAAAAGATATTTGGTGATATTTCTAATATTTTAAAATAAAATAATAAATAACAACAACACGTTTTAAAAAATGTTTTGTCAATAGATAAACATTTATCATTTTTTCAAAATGTTTTGAACATATTTAGTTTGTTTTTGTGATAATATTGCTTGTTTATTAGGCATTAATATTGCAAAACTGGTGATATAACACCTAATTTGATTATTATTTGCTTTTGTAATTCAAGACTTTGTAATCATATTATCACATTTTTGTGTTTAACAAATAAAAAACAAATTAAATATATAGTTAACAGACCTAAAAAGTATATAAACAAGTGAATGTAATCATTATATTTTTCTAATAACAACAAACAAGAATTTGACAACAAAACATTTAACGACTTTATTGTAACGTACAAAATAATATATAATACTTTTGAAAAAATAATATATTGTAAAATGATGGCAAAAAATATACAACAAAAAAATATTCAACACTTATTTAAAAAACCAAATAATACATTGAATTCCATAATATGTAAACTAAATTGACAAGTAAATACAATAACAAAAAAATGCAAATATAAATAATTATAATTGATATCATTGTGTCGGGTTCATGTGACGACTTCTAGTTGATATCATTGTGTTAGATTCATGTTACGACTTCTAATTGATATCATTGTGTCAGGTTCATGTTATTTGTTTGTTTCCAAAAGCACCAGGCCTGCCCTTTTAATTACTTATATGGAAATTATTCAAAGAACACATAAAAAGAGTAAGTAATACTATCTTTAAAAAAAACCAAGGCGGCGATATGATAATCACATCATATTCCCGTATGTTCATCTCTTCGACGAACTCAAATCCATCTTTACACAAAAACTTATACTCTTCTCGACTTCATAGATCTCAGCATTGTGTTTGAGCATCTCAAACTTCATTTTATCAATATCAACAACAGTCACGGAAAAGTTCTGTGTGGCGTGTTGTATCAAGTACCCCTTTACACAATAGAACAAATCTAACACTTAAATTCTTCTCCTTTAAAAATTGAGTGAAGTGTAGACTCATTGCTTCATTCCTCGCGATGTCTTCTGGTGTCATTGAGTACTATGCCTCTCTATCCATTAGTATTCCTTTGTCATATTTACTAAATAATGAATATCTTTGTTTATAATACCTTTCTTCTTCAGTAATAGTAAATTAAATTATCAATTGAAGTTTTTTTAATAATATATAACTTAATTATTATTATATTATAATATTATTATATTATTATATTATTATATTATTATATTATTATATTATTATATTATTTTATTATTTTATTATTATATTAAATAAACTTTCAATTAAAATATCTCCAACAGCGCTCTCATTATACATCGCATTGAACTTAACAGCTGACACAAAATGGTCAAAAAATGCTTCAAATTGTTTAGCGTAGTTTTCTGTATTCCATTTAAATGTTTTTCTTTTTTTAATGTTAACAAACGCACTTTAAAAATACGTTTTAAATGTTGTGTTCACAGTTTTTTCTGTGAAGTGGTCTTTTTTGGCGCCATTATATTTCTCGAATACAAATTCGAAAAATGCTTTGAATGATTATTGTTTCATCATTTCCAAATATTGTCTTTGTGTGACGGTGAGAGTCTGCAAACGTAGAGAATTCGTTATGTGCCAACTTAAATTATTTTCTTTCCATCTCGATAATTTCACTAACAAATTTGCTCATCGGAAATCGGTTTAATTCTTCATCTAAATAGGGGTGTTTGACACTCCTCAGAACATTTAGACTTCCCCCAACGTATTTTGCTTGCTGTGTTGTGTTTTTAAAGTCGTTGCGTTCTGTCAACTTGTGATAACAACACCCAACAGCAGCAACATCCTTCACCTCTGGAATCTTCACAGAAAGCCTTAAAGGTGTTAAAATCAAGTTCCTGCATGTGTAAAAACGCGTCATTAACAGTTCATTCGAAGGGGTGACGGTCAAATTTTTGGTCATAAATTCCTGAGGCGTTATATCGGTCGTTAAATACACAGAAATCGTTTTTGGATATGATTATCAAGGGGTTTTGAGTTGATTTTGACAACTTTTGTGAACATTTTTGAAAAACTTTTTCTTCTCGTTGTTCCATTCTGTCTAAGAAATTTTGTTCGCCTTCGACTTTAATAGCTTCGAGACCTAAATCTTTCAATTCGTGTAATAAATAACTTTTTCCTGAGCCAATGTCAATAACTGTTTTGGTCCAAATCTCAGTGATCTTTTGTGATAAAGCTCTACACTCGTTATTATTCTTCTCATTCATAAAAACCTAAATTTTATAATCTATAACAATTAAATAACATAATTAACATAAATATTTTAATTTTTTTTACATTAATGTAATAAATTAATAAATAAACATTATATTAATTTAAATTGATCAATTTTAATAATCATTAATTTCAAACATATTATTCACTTATGAAGTGAATTGTTTTATTATTGTTATAATTAATATAAGTGTTGTTAATTTTGTTAGTGTTGAACAAAGATATTTAAAACAAAAAGCAAATTGAAAATCAATTATTTTAGCAAATATTAGAACAACAACAAAGTTTTAAAATAATATGTTTTTTATACAAATTATTTATTAATGAAAGTTTTTTGTTGTGTATTTTGTTTGTGTTTTAATTTTCTTTTTGTTAATAGCATCTATTTTGTAAAACCTTAAAACATAGTCCGGCAAACAGAATCAAAAAACGTCCGTTATAAATTCGGCATTATGTTTTTTAGGAAATTTCTCAAATTTTGAACTTTCCAAAAATTTTGCATAAGGATCACATTTTCAAATAACAATTTAAAGTAAAACTCATATAATTGACTTTATTAAAATATTTTTTTCAAAATTCATTTGAATAACAACATGAAGTATACATCACAATTTCTATAACAAAACAATAAATCTAACCTAATTTAAAACATGAATATTTAAACTATATTACAATCGTTAAATATAACAACAGTTTTCAATAATGACCATTCAAAAATAATTAAACCTAACATATTGAAATTCATATATTATAAATATATTATAAATATACTAAATTATTTTTGAAACTTAAATTAAAAAATAATAAATAATATAGTATAACCTATTATAATTTAAAAACAAATGTTTATAATATAAATATAATATAATTATTAATAATTTAACTCCCATTAAAAAAGTGTATTAAAATTAATCATAATATTTATAACAAATAATGATACAATAATTACAAAAAATAAATATCAATTTTCAAAAACTATTAGTAAAACCAATAACAACTATTGAATAATAGTAGAATAAAACACAAATTTGTATTTATAGAATTATAAATAAATGTTAACTATTAAAAATTCATTGATTATAGTTTGAATAATAATAATAATTTTCTAATCAAATTTTATAATTTAATATTTGTATGTTATTGATTTTATTTATTACTTTAATATTTTTATCACATTTATATTAACACTCATTTTGTGTATTGATTTATTAACATTTTAATATTTTTTATTAGTTTAATTTGATTGGGATATTAACAATTAAATTATATATTTTATTTTAATTTACAAATTATTATTATATTTATCAATTATAATACACAAAAGTGCCAAACCAAACCCACCTTAAGAACAATCAATTACATTAAACTTTTTTCTTTATCTTTTGAATAACGTCTCTATCAAAATGCAAAATTATGGGGTTATATTCAATTAAATTAATAATATATTAATATTTATTATAACGATATAATGTTAGTTTATAATAGTTTATAATAATAATATAAATTAACAAATAAATAAATTAATAAATTATAATTTATAATAAAATAATAAAATA